TATCTATCTATCTATCTATCTATCTATCTATCTATCTATCTATCTATCTATCTACTTATCTACTTACCTATTATCTATAAATGTTTTCAATCTTTAATTTTAGAAAAAGGACTATTTTCATGTTTCTCATTGGTTGGAAAGATGTGAAATCCTGTGATTAGCGAAGCAATTCTCATTCTTGTTTTCTAAGGTAGGGCTCTTTACTGAAGGTAGGATGAAAAAATGTGAAACTGGATTACTTCAGTTTCACATTAACCCCCTTTAAAAATCCAACTATGCTGGGAGGAGAGACAAGGAAACAATGCCAGTGATTAAGTTGGATTTATCTAATCTATCTGGGCAGACTCCCTTGAAACTTGTTTTGAAGGAAATACATTCTTTCTGGTTTCTACAGCTTAGTAGAGGTGTTATTTTTCAGACTGAAAACAAAATGATGGACCCCAGATGAAGATAGCCTGGGAACGTGTGTGTGCTCTAAGCCACTCGGGCCTGTTATAAGACAGCTGCATCAGAAGTAGGACACTTAAGGGCGCTGTATCAGGAGACTGGTCAGAGGTTTGGAGAATGATGTTACTGTAAAAGGAGCAAACCAAGGGAAAAAATGGGAAAAGAATTGGTTAAATCAAATCATTAAAAATAAGTGTATGTGTGTATGCATGTACGTATTTAATCTCCCACAAAGAAAAAGAATTCGCTTGGAACCATAGTAAATTAGGTGACATGGAAGGGATGCAAATTTGTTGAGGATTTGGAAAAATCATCAGTACAAGCCCACATCCAGCTCACCAAACTCGCTTATTTCAATAACTACCTCAGGCTTTGCCAGAATTAGCACACACAGGATGATTATAACCAGGGTACCTGCACTACACCTGCTCCTGGAAGTAACTCCAGTTAATCACGGACTGTCCAAGGTAGACTTAGATGAGATTGTTTTGTTGGTGTCTACTCTTGAGTGAATAGATATTTGTTCATGTCTACCTAGGAGAAATTTACGCAACAGGTAATGGTCATCAGTTTCTTGGATGTTTTGAGTGATTGACATATTTGAGAGAGAGTTGCTGAACAGAGCAGAAACGCCAGGCTTTCGTCCTGTTTTAGCATCTTGTAGGCTCAAATGAGGAGTTATTTAATTATTTAGTCATTAAGCACAACTAGTGTACAAAAGAATGCTTTATAAAGAATGACTATTAAAATACATGGGCATGCCTGTAATCCCAGCTATGGGGAATATGAAACAGGAGGATCTTGAGTTTGAGGCCAGTCTGGACTAATTAATAAATCTATGTCTTGAAAAATATTTTAAATATTTTATTTTTTCTTACGAGAAATGTTTTCATTTTTACTGTCGAAGGTAAGCTAGTACACTCTAGCCCAAAATTTCATGAGTCTTCCCCACACTGAAAAACCTCTATAAAAATTTTACTGTCCTTAACAAGGTAAAACTTTTGCTTATGCAGAGGTCCCTCTGCATCCCAGGAATGTGATAGCCTGGAGTGACTGACCTCTGCTCCTTTTCCTCCATTTTCTTTATACAGATTCTTTTAAGACTAGCCAGTGTCAAAGATTGTGAGATTAGATCCCAACCAATGGGGAAAAGACACAGTCACCATCGTGTTACAGTAAATGCCAAGAGAAATTGCTGTTTCAGTGTGCTTTCTTGTCTGGTTTGAATCTGGACACACTTTTTTATACAAAATGAAATTGCCCTGATGAGATACTTTCGCTTTGTTTGTGTGTTACTTTCTGTGGCACCAAATTATTTGTTTCCACCATTTTCCTTTTACAGATTAGTCAGTGAATGCTTAACATTTCAGCAACAATAAAGTTGATCTAGAATAGAACATGAATTTTTTAAATATTTTTTTACTATTTTAAATGATATCTTAATATTCATAAATCCAGACAAAATTAAAGAGAGGAGACCTGACAATTCAGTTCAGTCTCTACTTAATGTGTGGAAATCACTGGAAGGTTTGTTCAGTTTGTAAGAATTACCCAGTGTCACCTTGTTCTCAAGCTCTACATATCTCAATATGCAAAACTTTGCCTTTTTCCAGATTTACCTAAAAGTGAAACTTAGGTTTTTTTTCTATGTTTACACAAAGAGCCCTATACAGACAAAGCATTCTCATTCTGTCTCACTGTCTCTCTCTCCACATATACACATTGTGACACTTACTGAAAAGTGACCCATTGTGTTACATAGTTCGTCAGATAGTAGAAAGTCTGAAGGTCAGCAAGGATGGGCTCTTCCTTGTAAAACCAGGACCAGAAACAGCAGGACTTCAATTACTGGTCAAAAGAATAAGATCTGAGTTGTACCTTTGGCCCCGGGTGGAGACATGACATTCTGAACTTCCCAAATGATCATAGAATTGCTTTCTAGCCAAAGGCTTTCTTGTAAGGAACAAAGACATACAATTGTACCTTCGCTTTAGAATTCATCAAAATCGCCTGTCAGCTAGGCAAGAAAATGCCCTTAGGACAGCTACTTGTTCTGGGGACTTCAAGAAACAGTATAAAAGCTTTCCTTAAAATGCAGGATTGCCTAATGGTCTCTGTAGCCATTGACCACCCTCACCCAACTCTGCCCAACTCCATGTCCCATTTTCATTCTATTCAGTGGAGCTCACAAGGACTGGTGTGGACTAAGGAGGGCCAGAGCAAGATCTCAGTAAAAGTTGAGAAACAGAGACACAGCCAAAGAGCAAAGGTCTTCTACGTGCACCCCAGTCCCAGTCCTCCCAGATTCCCTAGCCTTTGCACTGAGAGCTTTGTCCTAGCCTCAGGCAATCTTTTCCCCTGGCTACTTTCACTTTCTATTTTCTCTGTTTTCAGCGTCCTTAAGCTTCCAATTCTAGTAAACGATGTCATTGTGTTTTCTCTACTTACAAACTCTGCTTCTTCTCCTCTCTCAATCTCTCTCTCCCTCATCTCTCTCTCTCTTTCTTTCTCTCTCTCTGCCCCTAAATCTAAAAGGAACCCAGTAGAACAAGCCTTTCCATTTAACAGACAGTGTCTCACTTAGACAAAGATTAGTGATGTCCACTGCCCTGGAGAGTGGGTCTGTTTCTGCAAGGACTTAGCTGACTGGGGTCAACATGAATGGCAGTTCCAGTATTCCATGCTTTTCCTGATGGACTGGATTAAGCTGATTTCCTGGAGACTAATTGTGCTGGATCTGGATCTCTCTGTCTTCTGCTGTCTCTGGGTTAGGTTGGGGTTTCTCAAACCCAGGAGATTTACATGGGCTTCTGGGCTCCTTAAAGAACATTTGGCACCCTATAAAAGCAGCTCATTAAAAGAAACAGTAGGACTGCTTTCCTTTTAATAGTCTGGCCATGGAAAGTTGACCCATGCAGAGTGTTCGGAGGTGGAAGGCTGGAGACTTGGAGACAGTGGACAAGCTTGTTTGGCAGGCCAGAGTAGGAGCTCAGAGTGGGAGACCAGTCCCCTGGAGCTCTAAGGCCCCGATCCAGGTGGTCAGGAAAGCCCACCGAGGGCTCTATAAAGAAATAATGGCAGCAGTTAAACCCATCAGGGGTCCAGTTTGAGGTTGAAATTCCAGATTCTGCTCCCCCATCTCTTGAGGTTTGGCGCTGTACTTTCTCTCTTCTTCTGAGGTCCTGTTTTAAAGCTTTGAGGGTGGGAAAAGATGGCCATGTCACAAAGGAAAGCTAATTAGCTGAAACTCCCCCGGTGACTCCTTCCAGCTGGCCTGAATGGCCTTGGTTTTTAGGTCTTCCTAAATAACTTAAAAGAGAGGCTTGCCTCTCTTTTCAAAACATTTAAAAGCAAAATAAATTCAAATTAGGTCTTTTCTTGCTGTCAATGCTGTTTTAACCTTGTTTTCAAGGAGGAAAGCAGGGTGCCACGGGGACATTGTAGCTTTATATTAAGACATGAACCCTGGTAAGGGGAGGGGGGGCTTTCTCTGGAATGAACTCTGTGACAGGCTCTCTGATCATCTCCCCCTGGTAGGGGGCCATCTTGCCAGGCCACAGAGGAAGGCAATGCAACCAGTCCTGATGAGACCTGATAGGCTATGGTCAAATAGAAGGGGAGGAGGACCTCCCTTATAGTGGACGAGAGGAG